AGTCTGGCTTGAAAATCCTCGCTCTGTCCCTTATGGCCTGGGTGACCTTGGACAGGTCACCAAACCAATGTGCACCTTCTGGTCTCATACAATGAAGAGGGGAACATGGCCTTTCTGAGAGGGTTGTTGCACAGCTTCCTCTCAGCAAAGCCCACAACCAGCGTCTGGCATAGACTAAAACCCTGAAGCAGATTTGCATCTTATCTCTAGACTTTGAGACGGAGGTGCCATAGTATTCAGTCTGACCTCAGTCCAATCCTCTTGGACAAATGACAAATCCGAGTCTCCCTGCAAAATTCCCGACATGCAGAGGTTTACGAGTGACTCCTCAGAATTCCACACCCTTTCTGGGGCACTCGCGGCCCACCACCTGGCATCCCCTCACACTTGTTTAGGCACAACCCTCATGTGCATAACTCATTCCTCAATGAACACTTCCACTCCTATTAGGACTGGAACATTGTACCCACAGAGCTGAAAAGAACACCCTGTTTCCAAATCAGGAGTTTTGATCTTCTGAAATAATAATCTTTTAAAGTGAACCCCACTGCTGCTGGGAGCTAGCTCAAGACTCCTTGTGAGAAACAGAAGCCTCCTGCAAATGTGTCCTTCAAATCTCTCCTCCACTCACGCCAGGCCCATGGCAGAGGCCTCCAGGAGTCCTTGGCTTCCACCGCCAGCCCCTTCCTGCAGTCCAAAGTGATGGACGAGCCCACTAATTGAGCATCATTAGCAGATTGAGATCGTAGTCACCGGGTCTTAAGCACTTGGCAGGCTCCAAAGTCCCCAGGGAATCGTGGCACCAATAAACTTGGCATAATGTGTGATTATGTGTCAGCTACACCCAGGCTCCTTCGGCTCCAGAGGCAAATGAACATTTCTGCGGTGTCCTTGGGGGAAAAGGCCAAGGAAAGAAAAGGAAAAGAGTGTCCCTTCGTTACAGAGGTACGATCAGAAAGCCCGCTGACTCGCCAGAGAAAAAGGGGCAGCTGCTTCCCAGCAGAGGCCAAAGTCCAGCTCAGAGCAAGACAACGGGATCCAGTCCAACATCAAACCAGTTTTCCTGCAGCATCCTCTCAGGTGACAGTTGGCCTGGCCCCGCAAAGGAGCCAGCCCACAGCAGGGGACACAGAGGCTGCCCGCTCCCCAAATCTGCTTTGGGACCCAAGATCAACCCTGCGTCATCCCAAACCATCATCCTTCACCGCCAACCGCCCAGATTGCACTTGGAAACCTAGGAGGAAGGACTTTTACTGTGTTTTACGTAAATACTTAAAAATCATCTCCACGAATTCGAACGGTATATTCACAACAACTCCACGTTGGATCCATGGCGTGGGCTCCTACCTCTGACAGTAAAGATTAGTGGCCCACCTGGACGAGGAGGCAGGATTACTGGTCTGGGTCCAGGCTGTGCCACCAACTCACTGAGTCGCTTCAGGCAAGTCACTGAACAAACCGCAGGTTCCAATCGTTGGGTGTGACATGAGTCTCATGGGAGTCGTGTTCCCCAAAGAGCCATCGACAGGCCTTCTGTTCTAAATGCTAGGATGCTTGTCGCCCGACAGTGAGCCCAGGAATAGTCCCAGGGAATGGGCACAGGAGATTACTAGTGCTCACCAGTTTCCCACCTCCGCCCCTTCCTGGAGATCAAACAAAACATTTCAGGCCCCTTTGTGGTTGGGTGGGTCCACGTGACTAGTTCAGGCCAAAGGGCTGTGACTGGAGGCCAAAGCCCTTAAGAGCCAGTGTGCGATGCCTAGCTGCTCCCCCCATCTCCCCCCTGACCCACAAACCCATTAAAGCCTGGAGAGCTGCCTGGGCTGCAGCAGACCCTGGCAGAGGGTTATTTGTTACCATAGCATCATCCAGTCTCCCCTAAGTGATTCAAGGACCCCAAAGGTCACCTGATTTACGACAAATGGAGGGAGAACAGCTTCCCAGTAAGTGGCCGGTGTGGCTAGCGGCTGTCATTTGTTTCCCCCAACTTCTTCGCCGACAGAATTCAAATTTAGCTCATCACAGGGATGTGGTCAGCTCCAGAACTGTGACATAACAAATCAAATGGGTGTTGCTTTTTTAAGCATCTGCATTGCTGATCATTTGTTGTACAGCAATAGAAATACAATGCAGCAGGGTGAGATAGTGAAAAGTCCCTTTGTCATCAAAGCTAAAGCTACATCCTCTGATGAGCTTATCAGCAATAAAGTGGAATTTTAATCTCCATATGTTTATTTCTATGTTTATTTCTCAATTAGTTCTGAGCTTCAGAGGACAAATTCACTTTTTTTCACTCCATGCTAACCCCAAGCACTTTGTGACTCTGTAGCCAGAAGCATTCCTACACAATACAGACACCCTCAGCAACTCTTTAAAATGAGGCTCAGATGTGGTAGAAGGACCCAAATCCTGTCACTTCAGAATGTAGACAGCTGGAAGAGTGACTTTATATTTTATCTTTACTCCACAAAAAAATCCTCTCTATCCCCAAAAAACCACAACAGATGAAGGGAAAGGCTTAACAGTCACTGAGCAGGCGAGAAAACAAAAACAATGAACCTTCTCCATGGGAACCAGAAATCCCAACCCCAAGTTTTGTTGTTTTCAGTTCTCAAATAATCACCCAAGAGTAACTGGCCTTTTAGATGTAGCTTAAATGAATGGCAAGGAGCCGGGAGATTTTCTAGCAAGGCCGCATGCAGCAAGCCAAATTGCTGTTTGCATCCCCAGGAAGTGTGCTTCTATGGCTCCTGGATCTCATCATCCCTGACAACAGCGCCCTCCACTGGGCTGCAAATGCCTACCTTGTATGCTGCTAATTCCATAATACACCACCCTCAGCTTCCTGGAACTGAGTGGGCATCAGCATAAAAATGAAATGTGAGCCCTAACCGGGTTGGCTCAGTGGATAGAGCGTCGGCCTGCAGACTGAAGGGTCCCAGGTTCAATTCCGGTCAAGGGCATGTACCTTGGTTGCGGGCACATCCCCAGTAGGGGGTGTGCAGGAGGCAGCTGATCGATGTTTCTCTCTCATCGATGTTTCTAATTCTCTATCCCTATCCCTTCTTCTCTGTAAAAAATCATAAAATATATTTAAAAAACAAACAAACAAACAAACAAAAAAACGAAATGTGAGATTTTTGAGGCTGTCCCAGTGCCCGTTGAACTGAGCATTGAGAGGCAGCTTTCAGGGGAAGGAGAGCAGTCCTCTCCTTGAAGTTCAAAATACATTAGGGGAAACGAAGTCCCCAAATTTGGTAGCAGGTGTCATCAAATTAGTGCAACCTCTTTCCTTGATTAGAGTACAGCCCCTCATTTTTTTTTTATAAAAAAGAATTTCAAAAGCTTGTAGTCTAATCAGTTTTTTCTACAAATAAAGACACCATGATCTAGAGAAATGACTTAAATATAAAAATGCTGGATTTTGAATCCTGTTCTTCTGAGTGTTTGCTCCGCCAGATTTACTGTTCTCTAGCTGTGAGGGCTAGAAGGGCTCCTCTGAGAACTGTTCCTGGAGGCAGGGTTGCCCTGTCTGGTTCAGGCAGACCTGAACCTCTGAGAAGCAGAGAAACTTGAGCTCTGGCGGTTTCCATGGTGACCACTGAGCCGGGTGCATGCTCTAAAGAGGCTGGCTGACTAGCCAGCACTTAGGGAGCAAAGGTTGTGGGGCATTCCAGGAAAAACCCACATGCCGCTGAGCTGCTCGGATGACATGTGAATGGGCGGCTACCCTGCCAACAAACACTTCATTCAGGAGACAGACACACAGCTCTCTGAAGTCTACGTGTCTGGCCCCATGCCAGGCTCTTTTCCATACATTATTTCATTTAATCATTACCAAACGTTATAAAGCAGATTAGAATTCCATCCCCTTTTGCTAAGGAGTAAACCGAGGCAGCTCACTCTCACGCGGGATCACTGAGCTTATAAAGGTGGCTCTAAGCCTTATTCATCCACTCTGACAAACTGAAACTCTTCTAACAAAACTAAAATAGGGAACTCCCTGAGTCTTCTAAAGAAAAGCTGGTCATGATTGTTTGTCTCAGAGGGAAGAACAAGTTCAGATTTAGAGCTAACCACTGATCTATCTTTCCCATCATTGCTAGATTCTGAAAAAGATCTCAAAGTGTCATCTTAAAATATTAAGTCATGAGAAAAATTCCCTAAAGAAGGGTTGGAACACTTGAACATTAGGTCAATAATGAGAAAAAGAGCAGCAATGACCCTACACCAAAGCAAAGCAGGTGTTCTGTGAAATCATATGGATAGGTGTGAGTTAGAACCCCAGTCCAATCACATCTATGTCACATGACTGTCATTGATGCCAGGAATGCCATATTTAGTAAATAACTTTTGCTTGAGTTGAGACTTTTGTTCCTTGTTTAAAGGTAAGTATTCTTAAGAGGAAAAATAACCCCACTAACACAATAGCAGTCATCAGCACCTTAGTTTGAATTAGCACATCAGTGTCCTATTGCTGAGGGAACACAGCAGTGGAAGGAGAAAGAGGGAGGGGCCACGGGGAGACAGATACAAAGCACGAAGCAGTGCCTAGAAAAGACAGGCTCTGGAAGAAATCCCAGAAGCCAGGATCATCCTGAAGACACCGAGCTTGCAAATAAAATGGAAGTTCCAAAACCAAATGGATGAATTTACAGTTCTCTACTTTATTGCAAATACACAAGGACTCATCTTCCATCTTTAAGAAGAAACAGAGTGTGCTTCATGACTTCACAAAATCTGCACTGGCAAATCCATACTTAACCCTCTGTGTTGTGATTCCAGAGATACCACTCTACAGAAACTAACTACCGAAGAGAAGAGCTTTGGCACAGTGCCTGTGACGACCATCAGCCACACAGGAAATATGATCATGACATCAGACTATTCCCTTAAAAGTGGTAATGATATGACAAGACCCTGATGATCCCTCCTGGATCCCAAAAGGCTAAAGCCCATTGGATCTCAGAGGTCAGGGTTGACATAGACGCAGTACTCACTCGAAAGACCTTCTCCACTCTTGCAATGCTTTTCCCAAAGATGGTTCCAAGTTGGTCTCCAATTCCAGCCAATAAGAAACCAAAGAGTGGAATTCCAAAGATGGCATATAAAATACAAAAGATTTTGCCTCCTTCAGTGCTCGGAGCAATATTCCCATACCCTGGTGAGAAATATTAAAAAGAGAGAGGGAGAGTGGTGAGGTAGCAGAGAAATTAGAGTACAGAACCAAAGACTCCACAGACCCTTCCAAACCTTCCTGCATCCCCACCCCCAATTTGATGAACTTTAGGAAGGAGCACCTCATTTTAAAGGCCCGTGAACTTCAGAACACTGTTCCCATTGCCTCCTTTCCTTCCTTCTTGTCAATAGTTTTAAGGAGATCCAGGTTTCCTGGATCTAATGTGTTTAGTTAGGTTACTTTTTAGGAAATGTGTGGTCACCCAAAATTGCATTTCTAATGGAAAGTGGTAGTATCCATTTCAGAAACACCGAACACCCTGGACCGGTCTGGTCTAGGGACACCTGCACACCTAAGAAGGGTTCGCCACTGTTGTTTTTAGATTGGAAATGAGCCCCTCCATACTGTGGCTGCCTTCAACATTTGCCTTCCCAGGGTCATGGGTGCTCCGCACTGAGGAGGCTATGTGGTCTAGCACACATTCAGAAAGGACCCATGGACCACACAGCCCTACCCGGGGAAGCCTGAAAACAGTCAAGAGTGGGGGAAGGACAGTGGCTTTTTTTCTCTCTACTGGGAACCCTGCATCATCTCTGAGTCCGGCCTATCCTCTCACCCACTTCTTTTTTAAAAAAATATATATTTTATTGGTTTTTTACAGAGAGGAAGGGAGAGGGATAGAGAGTAAGAAATATCGATGAGAGAGAAACATGGATCAGCTGCCTCCTGCACACCTCCTACTGGGGATGTGCCCGCAACCAAGGTATATGCCCTTGACTGGAATCGAACCTGGGACCTTTCAGTCCGCAGGCCGATGCTCTATCCACTTCTGGTTAGGGCCTCCCACCCAATTCTTGCATCAAGGGATATCAAGTGCTAAATAAATGTTTGTTGGTGGAATGGATGTTTACAGATAAAAGAAGCCCTCCATAGCCAGGTCTACCAGTACGTTTGTCAAACAATGCTTTGGAAACACCAACATCTTAAGACTGCAGCAAGTACATATTAGTAAGTAACTGAGGTATAGTGAATAGTGGCCTTACTCTATATGGATGGGACTAAAGACAGTGGTGTTGGAAGAAAATGGCTTATGGCACCAGCACAGTTTGTATAGAAATGAGTCTAAGTCATTTGTTATTCGTTTTCATGTCAATGAGTATCTAGGTAGTCACCTGACTATCCTCCGATATCCGGGTGACTCATGTGAGGTCTGTTTCTAAAGCCATCAGTGGGTGAGTTATTGGGTTCATGGTTATCAGCATGTTGGGGGTGCAGCACCATAAAGAATAACGTTGATGATTGGTCCACCAATCCTCCTCTATGCATGTGGCGAGCTCACTGGTGCTTTCTGCCCTTGAGCAATGAGTCACCTTGCTATTTGCCTTTGCAACTTTCCACTCGGAATCATTCAAACCTCTTATCACAAAGTATCTAAATCACAGTTGCTGTTTCATCAAGGAGTGTTCAGTCAAGCCTCCTAAATCTTGCATTTCTTTGACTCACCACCGTTTTGACTTAATGGTAAAAAGAAAAAAATAACAATAACCAACCCTTGGAACTTTTTTCAGGTGCTTTCAGGAACTTGGACACAATCCTTTTTCTCAGCAGCCCCCTCTAGAATAATCCGATTTATATAACATAGCCCTCTTGGAGAGGGAACAAATGTGCCTATACAGTTTCACATTATGCAGGTTTAAGGTTCCCTCTCGGAAACATTCTAGTAACTTCTGGAAACATTCATACTCTTGCTTGGCTGTCTTATAATTGCCTGACTACTATCAGGGGATCTAGGTTTTCTTTTAGTCTGATAACTCAGAAAAAAATATACTGCAGACTCCGACAAACAAACCTAGGCTTTGAACCTGCTGAGTAGGCATCTTTGCAGCCATGACCAATGCTGTGCAGCCTTCCTCTTCCTCTCAGAGGGGACCTGCCCCCGCCCCTGAGTCAGGGGTCATCCAGGGTCATCAGGAGCATGAGAGAGAAGTAAGAAGATAGAGGTTCCAGATTTAATTCATTTCACTCTGCCCAGTTGTCCTTAGACTCACTTAGCCACTGCAAACCCTGGTGTTGGAGGGGTTCAAGGACAACATGGGGAAGAAAATCAATGAAGTGTCAAGTACCATAGCAATGCAAGTAGTATTATCATCATTGGCTCCTTATTTACTCAGTGTTTCACAGACAGGAACACTAAAATAAAGTTAAAGCAAAGTTCTTAGGTTAGGGCACTAGTGAAGTGATATTTACGTCTCTAAGCATATTTAAGGGCATCGTGTCATATCAGACACAAAGTAATCGCCATTCCTGAGTGACGCTGTACTTTGTGCATGGGTGTGCGCATGCGCTTTTTTGTCCCCTGCCTCCAATGAACTATTTGGAGTGACTGCTGCAGTTTGACTGTCAACACTGTCCCTCTAGGAAAATCCTAGAACTTCCATTTTGGAACTTTGAGGCAATAGGAGGCCCACATTCCTGGATTCTTGGCTCTAGTCCTACCCGGCCTGTTAGACTGTCCTGCCCAGCCTTCCAGAATGCTTGGGAGAACTTTGAAGTGAGGTTTGAGGGTTGTACGTAGGCTCTAGAACTGGATTCTTGTCTGGTTCTTCCGCTTACTAACTCTCGGATGTTGGCAACCTACCTAACCTTTCTGCCTCCTGCTCCGCATTTGAGAAGTGAGGCTCTTTGATAGCACTCACCTTATAGCTACTAAAGATGAGACGAGTTACTGTGAAGATTAAATACGTGTATGTGAAGCCCGATGCACAGGAGGCGCTCAGTAAGTATTAGCGATGATCGTCTTGTGGTTTCCAGTAGGAAGAAATCACTTCTGAGCCATATGTCTCCAGGAAAATGAAGCCCCAGGAGAAAACAGATGGCTGGATCCTACTTTCCCTCTGGAAACTCTGCTGTCCTCCCACAGTGCCAGGACACGGGACAGAATGTACCTCCAGTGGCTGGCTCACTGACCTGGGCGGACCCATGGCTGGATTTGGGGTGCGGGCATCTCTTGGTGCAGCAGGGGGCTGTGAAAGCTGGGAAATGAGAGGGGACGCACAGCTACCAGAGAAGCAATCAATGAGGCAGACCTAGCCCAGAAGATTGGAACTGGATTTAAGTAAAACAAAAGACGTCCAAGGAGCTACTCCATCAACTGGCTTCTGGTGACTTTCAAAGGAGATGAGCCCAGTGAGGACCGTTTGCAACGTCTGAGAAGGACCAAGGTGGGGCTTAGCTCCATTGACCCCCAGCTAGGAAACAGTCCCACGAAGAGAGGCCGATGTTTAGGGAGGACGTGTGCCCGAGGAGCACACAGATGATGCTCCTATGTGCTATTTATGTGCCAAAGTCACACCTTTGCCAACCCACGTGCTATGCAGCCCTGCTGTGTGGTGACGAGCGTGCATTCTAAAACCAGAATGTCTTTGTACACAGGGCTGGCTTGGTGGGTGTGCAACCTGTGCAAACAGAACCCCATTTCGAAGGGCCCTGTGCTGTGGTTAGTGCTCTGCTGTTGCCGTTTTGACATTCGTACTCATTTCTTAGCAAGGAGACCACATTTTCATTGTGCACCGGGCCCTGAACATTCTGTAGCTGGTCCTGCTGAATGAAGCTACTAAACTCCACTGCTTCCTCACCGTGAGATATTGGGCAAGTTACTTAATGTCTCTGAGCCTCAGTCTTCTCATCAGGAAAATGAGGCTAATAAATAGTACCTGCCTCCTGTGCTTCATGAGAGATTTTGAGAAGGCGTGTGGAGCACAGTGCCTGGAACCTGGCAAGTGCTCAGTGAATGCAGGCCACAATGACTGCTATTTCCAAAATCATGGGTTAAACTTCCAACCAAGCGCTGGTTAATTAGAAATAGCTGCCCAGGTTCCTTGGCAGGCACAACTCTGAAATGAGGCTGCCAGGCAAGTAACACAGTTACTGGCTACCATCTGGAACCTGACCGCGGGCTCTCACTGATGTGGGTGGCGTCCGGTGACTCAATCCAAAAATGCCTCAAAGACTAAACTCCAGTTGCACTCGGGAGTTGTTGGTCAGAATGCCATCACCTGTGGCCCTTCTGTTGGTGATTGTTTATGGGGAAGTCTCTGCATACAAGAGTGAGTGTCATGATTAGAAAAGCTAGTTACTGGGTTATCTACCAGCAGAGTCCACATTCAAGGGCAGGTGGGACTTTTTCACATCAGCATTAGTTACTGAGAAAGGGGACAGGTACAGGGCAACCTCAACAAAGACGGAGCTGAGTCCATTCTTCCTCGTGGCGGGGCTCCTGGCTTGGAAAATGCCTAAATGCGTTCCCTTTGGCCATACACTTGTAAATCTTTCTGTATGTCTGAGTACAAGAAAAGCTTTCTAAAAAAAGAAGGCCTTGATCCATTCAGAAAAAAGAGACTTCTGATATTGGGGGACAGGTACAGGGCAACCTCAACAAAGACGGAGCTGAGTCCATTCTTCCTCGTGGCGGGGCTCCTGGCTTGGAAAATGCCTAAATGCGTTCCCTTTGGCCATACACTTGTAAATCTTTCTGTATGTCTGAGTACAAGAAAAGCTTTCTAAAAAAAGAAGGCCTTGATCCATTCAGATAAAAGAGACTTCTGATACTGAGTAGTATCAGTAGTATCGCTGCTTTTCAGAAAAGAATCTATTATTCCTCAGACCTCTCTGCCTACATTCTAAGCAATGAACACGTTTTTGTGTGTCTGAAAGGTACCTAACCTCATGCAGCCCGTGAAAGTCTTTCTGGAGAGCAATTTGGTGAGCCTTTAAAAGGCTCATGACCTTTGCCACGGCAATCCCTTGGGGATCTTTCCAAAGAAACAACCAATGATGAAGACCACACTTCATGTACAGCAGTTTTCATGGTGATGCTAAAGGAAGAAACAGCTTCGGCCTCCAACAATATGGGATCATAGTGTGGATGGTAGAAGCCATGGAACCCATCAAAGATTGTTTTTCAGAGAAGCTTAGTAATAGGG